TTTGGCGGGTCCGGGCTGGGGATTCGAACCCACCACCTTAGGTGTATGTGGCTGGCGCCTTAGCCGGTTGAGCTATAGGTGCCGAGCTGAATTGTATCATCTTAATGCAGTATTTTTAATGATTGAAAATCTCTTAGCTATTAGCTTGTGATATTTCCTCTACAACTAAAATAAGTATAATAATGTAAGGTTTTTAACTTTTGAGACCTTGAAAGTAAGTTTTAAGATTTTCTTTGGCATTATAATTATCTATACATAGTTGATCAAAATAAATGCATTATACAGTTTTTGAATAATTATTGTACAAAAGCAAAGATTTTTAAAATGCATTTCAGTGGGATGTCAGCTCCACCCTCATCTGGATGGTCACTATTGTCAGAATAAGACCAGCTTCAGTACTTTGCTTTTATATATGTGATTTCTCAGAAACTGTTCAAATAGGAGGTAGTCAGAGGAAGTAGCTTTTAAGTCACTTTTAACTTGTACCTCACCTGCTTAAAATCCTTCAGAGGCTTCATATTACCTGTCTTATAATATTTTCTGTCTGTTAATCTGCGCACATGGAGGCTTTCTACGGCCTGGATCTACTTGGCGGAGTCAGTTTCCAGGTCCTCCTCCACTGTTGAGTTTGCACCTTCCTGGAACTGGTTCCCTGCATACACGCTGAGAGGAGGTGTAGGTTTTCCTTTCCCACTTCCTCTCACAGGTGCCCTTCTGCTCACAGTCACTCCTTGCACCAGTCTGCCTCTTACTTCAGGGCATTGTCCCCAGGTGCAGAAAATTCAGGACATCAAGAGACCATTTGAAATCTGGTTTCTGGGTGGACTTTCATGTACATGAGATATTTTTTGAAGTTTGCAAATATATGAAAGCTATTCTAGTTATATTTTTGTGTGTTTTTCTTAATGATATTTAATTGCATCATGGTCAAGGAACATACTTTGTGATTTTGGTCCTTGAATGTCTGTGAAAATTTCGGAATGGTTAGGTTTTTGGGAAATGTTCCGTGTGTGTTTGCGAAGAGCATGGTTTCTTTACTCGTTAACTGTAGAGTGCCATTTAGGTCTTTTAGGTATCATTTGCTGACTGAGTTCAAATCTGTACCCTGCCTCATGTTTTTGCTCTTTTTTTTTTTTTT